ATCACCAGTAGCAACAACATCATACGACCCAACATCTTCATTCTCGCTCCCATCACCATCATACTTAGTTTGCTTCGAGCGATTCCCACCGAAACCGTAAGCGATTGCTCCCGATGGCGCGCGGTCGCCTAATTGGTCGACAGTTGCAATTTTAGGATTTAAAAAACGATTCAACCGTGCTCCATCGAGCAACTTTCTGAAATGCTGTGCTCTATTATGTCCTGGTCTGTGCTCGGCTGGCCAGAATGACGTCGTGACGCCTGTGACGTCAGATGCGTCGTCTGCTATTATGGTCCTCTTCACGTATGTTTCTCTTCTGGTTGAATATGTTATGTTAGGTTCATCTCTGTCACCATATAAACTGCCATGTTGTGGTATGATCGACTCCGTGACGCTATATTATGCCATGGGATGTTGTGTCGAATTCTGCTGTAGTGTGAATTGTCCCGTGATGCGTTTGCCTGCCCGGCATGTTGTAATATATTATCAGTTGCTCTGCTGATACGTCTAGCTGTGCTCAACTGTCGTGTTATGATACAATATGTAATGCTGTCATGGTGCGATTTGATATGGTCTGTCATCGCATGTTCCGTTAAACTGGGTTATAATGTGTTAGGGTGTGTTATGTCGTCGTCTGTTACGCTATGTTCTGCTCTGGTATGTTATGTGATGGTATGTTTGCTGACGGCTCGGCTCTGTAAACTACGATATGGTCTGCCCTGCCATCATTAGTCGTTGTGCTCTGCTGTCGTGTTATGATATGTGCTGGGATGCTGTGTCATGATGTGATATGTTCTGTCAAGGTGACGCTCGGTTATGTTATGTTATGATGTGCTCCGTCGTCGTCGGTTCTGTCATTTCTGTTCTGGAATAGTCTGCGATGTTCTGGCATGCCTATTGTGTCATGGCATGGCTATGTTATAAGCAGTATCGTTATGTGATGCTCGTGTTCTCTGTTCTGTCATGTTGTCTCGTGTTGTGTTCTGTCGTGTTCGACGTCGCAATGTTCTGCTTGAAATGTTGCGTGATGCTGTGTCATGATATGATATGTTATGTCATGTGTGATTTTATGTTCCACTCTGTCCTGTTCTGGTGTGTCCTGTCGTCTTCTGGTGTGTCATTGTCTGCCCTGGCATGTTCTGTGATGCTATGTTTGTTGACGGCCAGGCTCTGTCTAGTATATGTTGATCGGTTCTGCTAGTATGTGTTGCTCTGCTCTGCTGTGGTGCTATGATATGTTCGATGATGTTTGTCATGATGTGATATGTTCTGTCAAGGTGTGTGATGGTATGCTCATTTATGTTATGTTATGTTATGTAGCGGTATGTCGTCTCCTTTTATGTCATGACCTGCTCTGGTATGTTCTTTGACGTTTTGCTATGCCCTGTGTTGCCATGTCATTGATATGTTATAATATGCCTCATTATGTCGTGCTCGTGGTCTCGTCTGTCATGATGTGTTGTGTCATGTTGTGTTATGTCGTATTCGACGTCGCTATGTTATGCTGTCGTGTTATGATATATTCCGGAACGCTGAGCCATGATGGGATATGTTATACCAGGGTGTGTTATGTTATGCTATGATCGGTCATGGTATGTGTTGTTGTTATGTCGTATTATGTTATGTCCTGGTCTGCTCTGGTATGTATGTTTGTCATATTATGCTCCGTTCTGTAATGTTCTGTTCTGTCATGTTGTGTTCTTTCGTGTTCGTCGAGGGCGCGAGGCGAGACACCCGGGACTCTCGGGGATCATTGGGACAACTTAGGCTCTGGCGGCCGCAATATGCCCGGTGGGGTTGACCAGGCGCGAGGCGGGACACCAGGGACTCTCGGGGATCATCAGGACAACTTGTGGTCTGACGGCCGCAATATGCACGGTGGGGTTGGCAGGGCGCGAGGCGAGACACCCAGGATACTCGGGACACTCGGGACAATTTGGGGTCTGGCGGCCGCGGTATGCACGGTGGGATTGATCGCGCGGAAGGCGGGACATATGGGATTCTCCGGACAACTTGGGGTATGGCGGCCGCAGTATGCAGGGTGGGGTTGGCCGGGCGCGAGGCGGGACACCTTGGATTCTCGGGACAACCTGGGGTCTGGCGGCCGCGGTATGCAGGGTGGGGTGTGGCTGGGAGCGAGGCGGAACACCCGGGATTCCCGGGACAACCTGGGGTCTGGCGGCCGCGGTATGCAGGGTGGGGTTGGCCGGGCGCGAGGCGGGACACTCAGGATTCTCGGGACAACTTGGGATCTGGCGGCCGCAGTATGCAGGGTGGGGTTGGCCGGGGGGGGCCTATTCTTGAAATCTAACAACCTCAACCTGTCGGGTGGGGAATCAACAACGATACCCTAATCGTACACCTCGTCACCGTCAGCGTCTTACTCGTCATCGTACTCAGCACCACCAAGGTAAACATCAACATCTTCATCATCGTCGTCTTCGTCGGCCAAATACTCCCGAAGAGGCCTCAAGGAACATCTGGCCGAATGCGCGCCACGGGGGGGCCCCTTGCGGGTTATTGGGGAGGTTTGGGGGGGACTCTTGGGCCCTCTTCTGTCATGTCGGGTGACCCTTGGGGCCGTCTGGAGGGCATCTGAAAGCCTGAGAAGCCGGCTCATCAAGAGCAAAAAGGCAATGTCTTCAGAACCTGGAAGTTTGTATTGGTGTTTGAACTATGTGGGCGTCCTGTAAAACTCTTGGAAACAAATTGGATGCATCTTGGAGACCTCTTGGGTGCCTCTCGGTGCTCCCTTGGGGCCTCGAAGGGGTTTGGCAGGCTGTCTGGGGCCCGTGTGAATCCTTCGGAAGCCGTCAGGCTGAGCTCTTCAAGATCCTTGGGTCGTTTTGGGAGGCTCTTGCATGCTCTTCTAGCCATCTTGGTGACATCTGGGGTCCTCTGGGGGCTCTCGTAGGCAGGCAAATTTGGGGCCCTCCAGCGGCCTCTCAAGCGACAGCTCGAATGAGGAGAAGACGTCGAAAACAGTATCATTGAGAGGGGCGCACCCCTCCTCCTACCCACTCACCTGGGTCTGGACGGAAGGCTCCGCGAGGTGTCAGCAGGTCTTTTCTGGCTCAGGATTGTTCCAAGATCGCCTCGTATAGCCCAATATCCGATGGCCCTGCAAGATCGCAAAACATAGCCTCATATTATTTGAATTAGCTTCGAGTATGCCTCCAAGAGAGTACGATATCGCCCCAATACGGCTGCAAGTTGACTACGGAGCCTCCCCAAGTCACCCCCGAGAGACCATAATCCTTCCAAACCCTATAAGAACACACTGATCTGTTCCTTCTCACCTTTCTGCTTCCGACGGGCTTTTTTCCAGGGGGGGGGAGACTCGCTGCTGTGTCGGGCGGTCGGCACAAGACAGCATCAGGGGCGCAGCCACGCAGCACAGGTCCTGACTGTAGCAGCGGGGGTGGACAGCGTGGTCCGAAAGATGCGTCCACTGTCGAATTCAAACTCTCGGTTGATGCCCGTTCGCGCGCTGACCAGCCGCGGCTGCGTCAGCCTGACACTGTGTCAGCAACTTCGCTCGAGGCATGTAAGCAGGAGGAGGCTGAGAGGGAGGGAGCGCAGGGGCATGGGGGAGGAGCGCTCACCGAGACCGGCCCGCCAGGCACTGCTCAGTAGCTCACCTGCACCGCGCTGCCCGGCCCACACCCGGCGGGCACCTGGAAGCTGACGAGGCGGCCGTCCCCCGCCTGCACCTGGTACGTCATCCCCGGGAAGGCGCCTGCAGGCAGGTACACCGTCGTCGTCTGCGCAGGCGGAGCCTGCTGCAAATAGTACTGCGTGTACTGCACCGGTGCCACGTAGGACTGCGGCACGTAGTGCTGCTGCAAGGGTGAGTACTGCGGAGCCGCGGCGTACTGTTTGTACGGATCCTGCACAATGTACTGCTGCATTGCGAGCAGTGGGCCGAGCAGCTGGTACCTTGTCAAAGACGAAGAAGGGACTGCGAGAGAGCTCTGAGGCCCCTTGACTAGTGACTTTGCTGGTCCGAATTCGCCTGAGCCAAACCGACCCTTGAGCCAAAATGGCTACGGACCGCTTCAGTCGGGCTCGTGGAGCCTCAAGACGGCTCCAAGATGGTCCAAGACATCCCCGGGAGGGGCCGAAGCAGGCTCAGATACGGCCCCAAGAGCACGCAAGAACACTCCAAGAGCTCCGTTCTGCCTCCGACGGAGGAGTGCTATCTTGGGGCCATCTTGGCCTCCAAGATCCAAGATGGACCCAACAGGGTCCCGAAGTCTCTCAACAGGGCCCCAAGACGGCCCCACCAAGAGAGCCAGAACAATCTTCAAGCTTGCCCCGAGAAGGCTCCAAGAGGCCCCCCGAGGTCCACCATGGGCTTTGCTGGCCTCTTTGCCTCACCACATGCTCAAGTACGCCCCTTCTCTAGACAACTCCCCTGGGCATCGTTCCTGGATGGGCTGCTGGGAATACCCGTCGCTTGGAAGAAGTGGGTAGAGGTATGACCTAGGAAGGCGTTGAAAGCAGACTGGGCTTCAACACGCTCCCTGAAGAGGACGGAAGAGGGAACATCGCTCGACTCTTGCAATAGGCAGGCATCGAAAGTAGACTGGGATCTGGGAATCCAGCAAAATCTACTTCCGAAGACCGATGGGAAGCGTCACGAATTACACCGTGTCGTACGTCGGCCTCCAGGCCACCTGCCGCGCCGTACCGACAATCTGCGCACGCTCGGGCCAGCTGCGGCCTTGATCACAAGCCACAAGCAGCGAACGTACCCATACCCACACCCTCGCGGTCTGGTTTGCGGTGCGCGATCCACGTGGATACTCGGTCGTACGCATACGTTCCGCGCGGGTCATCTGCGAAAAAGCCGCCCGTACCACAGGGACTTGGCCAAGGGGCCCAGCACGCGAGGACGTGGATACAGTGTGTTTCCTGCCCTCGATTTGAGCCAGGCCCTCCCGTCCTTTTTACCATGCCGACAGCGCGCCGATGTCAAGCAGAACAAACAGCCGGCCTCAGACACCAGTCCGCCGGTCCGGCCACCGCCGGACCGGCGAGCGGCTACGCGCCGCTGGGGCCTCGTCGGCCGCCGGAGAGCTGGCCGTCTTCCAGGGTGGACGCCCCCAGCCCGTTGACTCCCTCTGGAGGCATCGCCAATTCTTGACATCCGTCGATATGACTCTTTCAATCCCCATCGATCGACAGTTGTTCGCACCCAGATCCGTTTTTCATGCCCCCAGGGCCCGATAACTGGCCCCCAGAGGCCGAAATGTAGGAAGAACTTTGGGACTGAAACAATCATCTCGTCGCAGATCTGGGCAAAGGGGGCCAGAGCAGGTCGGGCTCCAAACCCGCGATGTCCCCATGAGGCCTCGGCGACAGCAAATGCGGCGCCGAGGCTACACAAGCCGCGCGGAAGTTTCAGAAGAAGGCGGATGCACGCAGGATCCCAGGTAATCGAGGCCTCGCACATGGGGTCGGAGTAAATGGGATCAGAGGATCACGCCGCATCCTCGATGCATTCCCGATACGTCGGCGACGCATCGGCGACGTCGGCGATGCATCGGCGACGTCGACGTGTAGAACACTCGGCTCCACATCGGGCCGCATCGCCGATGCATCGGCGATGCTGCGCGATCCTCCGACCCCATCCCATCTACTCTGATACCATCTGAGAGGCCTAGTGGTAAGGGGATAGGGCCCCGAACCCGCCCCCAGCAAAAACAGAAGGTGTAGCACTTGCGTGTGGGGCTGCGCGGTCAGCTCGGATCTTGGCGGTCGTTTCCCAATTCGTGACGTTTTCGTTTTCCTTGCGTCGTGCTGCCCCGCCAAGCGTGACGGATCGCCTCAGAACGCCCGGTAACGACAGTTCTGGTCTGTGGCTCTGCCCCGTCGGCGGCGACGGCGCTGACGCGCGGCACCTGAGGGGGCTCGGCACCGCACCAGGCCGGAATCACTGGACCAGGTCTGCCGTAGCCCGCGCCAAGTCGGGTGATGACAGTTCCAATGTGGGCGGGAGGGGGGCCCTGTGGTACCGTGCCGATGCCCCGCCCAGGGCGCGGTGCTGCGTCCTGAAGGGGGCTGCGGGGCGGCGCCGCCTGACTTCTCGACTGTTCTCATCTGTGTCAGATTGGTGCAAACCTGCTGCCCTGGGGTAGGCAAGGGGGAATAATGCTGACCAGCAGGCGATCGAACGATGTTTTCGGATTGGGTCTTTGGCACCTCCACTGGTACACATCACGGAAGCAAGCTGTGTAAAACATAATCCTGGCAATGCCCGACAGAAATCGAGAAGATACGGTGCGACTCGGAGGACATATTTCGGGTAGGACGAACGGGGGGATAGAAAAAGGGAGTTACAGAATCAGCTCACTTCTCCAGGCGCCAGTGTATCGAGAAATGTGCTCGGCGGCTGGGCCGAAACCAACTGCACGCAGCAGACTTCGCCCCCCCGCCCCCACACCCTGTTCCCTACTTTGCCTGGATAAATTTCGCGAGGGCGCCTGGACTCCCACCAGCCGCCGGAGCTCCCCCAGCCGCCGCGCCCGCCGCCCTTCTGGTTGGCGTAGCGCACCACGAGGGGGCGCGGAGAGCCTGCGGCGAGCTCCAGCTGCGGTTTCAATTGCCTCCGTGCTGCTCCGACGGCCCGAACGTGCTGTTCCCCAGAGGATCTGAAGGATCGACTTCGAAGATCGAGCCTCCACTTTCCCCAAACAGTCACAGAAGCTGATCCCTTGGAAACGCAATTTCGTGTGAATAGACATTTGCGACACGGCGGGATGAACACCACTTGCAGACCGCCCATCGGTGCGGGGATTGGACCACACCCCCTTCTCATCATTGTCACAGGCACACGGACCGTCGGCACTGCGACCATCAGCGTTAGCAGCGCTGTGCCCTATCAACTTCGTCGCCGCGGCAAACGCAGCCCGGCTCGCCAGCGGCATTCGACAAGCACGGGCGGCCGGGAGAACGGCGCACGGGCGCAAAATTGCCCGCGGGAAATTGCCCGCGCGAAATGGCCCCAGAAATCCCGCCCAAAATGGCCGTACGAAAAAACACCAGAATTGATTCCCTGGACTAATTTGTGAGCACCTGGCCGCGCCTGCGAGCGCCCTCCAAACCAGCAACCGCCTGAGACATTCGCACAATAAGTTCGTGCGGGCAATTTCGCGCGGCATCTCGTAACGTATTTCATGCTAGAGCTCGCGCAGCAGTTCGTGCCTCAGGTCGCGTTTCACAGAATTCATTGCGAGCATAATTTCGCGCTCGTGCGGGAACATATTCGTGTTCGTGCGGGAACAGCTTCGTGCTCGTGCGACCGCAATTACGTTCTCGCGCAGGAAGAAATTCGTGTTCGGACAGGTGCGGTTACGCTGTTCATTGCCTGGGACTACAACAGACATGTCACGCTAGCACATAGCTTACACCACGCAGTGTGCACCGCATAGCTTGCACAACAAAGCTCACACCACCTGGCTTGCATCGCATTCCTTGTACAACATGGCTTGCTCCGCATATTTTCAGCCAACAAATTGCACGGCACGGCTTACACCACAACACACGCATTTACAGTGCAATTACATACTGCTTGGGGTCTACGCGATCAAATCCGTCGCACAAAACACATCTAGGCGGAGGTCGGACCTCCTTCTTGAAGGTTCTTAGTCCTCTGGGCAACTCAGCAAACACCGCGTTCCAAGCCGCGCGGTGCGCAGACGCAGTTACCGTCGCACTCTGCACCGCGCCCCCAGAGGCGTGGCTTCCCACGCGCCTGCGGGTGGCGTAGAACATCATACAGAGGGGGCGCTGATGCCCCAACTGTTCCTTCACTAGCCGTGCGAGAGAGGGCAAGGCATGGTCATGTCATGATCGGACGTGCCACCAATCACCAGACTCTCGGATCGCCAACAAGCGGTTCAAGAGATAGCATTCAGCAGGATCTCAAATTGAACTTGCGATCACCATGGCATGCTTGCGAGTGTTTCAACTAACGCCCCGACTGCGACGCCGCCAATGCATGGCCAACCTCTCACACGTGGCCTACAGCAAGCATCACGTACGCATGGTAGCACTTAGGCAATGTGCCCGACTGAATGAACTAATGCCAACGCGTGAGAGATGTCGATCTTTCTCAGCCCCAGCTGGACAGGCTCTACATCAATCGCACCAAGTATCGACAAGTGCAAGACTCCCACGAAAAATGAATACCAAAGTCACTTTTGGGCCTACGCAGCGCAACTCAGACCTGTAAGATCATCTGCAGCTGCCGGAATTGCTGAATCAGAGACTGCCCTGGTAGCAGTCTGAACTCGTCGCTCTGCAGCTCCGTCCGTTTCCTCGACAGTATCCTCGAACCCTGCACGACACTGTGTTTGGTGACTTTGCGGGGTGGTCTGCGGGCGACAGTGTGGTCAGCACCTTGTAGCCTCGGCGAGAGGCGAGGAGCTCACACCCGTCAAGCTGTACTGGGAGATGACAGTTCCGAAAGGGACAGGCTGCACACAATGACCGCAACAGCTCTGCCTGGGCGCCCTGCACAAGGCCGTGTAGCACTTTGGCAAGCAGGTGCCATGTCCATGACTGCACTCTGAGCCACCATCTCTACGTAAGCCGACGCTGCGCAGTCCTCCCGCGGAGGTTCATAGGTGCGAACCCCCGCTGGAGAGAGTTTGCCCGCCAAGGGCGTTCCGCCCTGGATGCAACATATACCCCAGGGCCAAGGGTCCTGCACATGCGCTGAGCGACGAATCTGGGCGATCGCCTCCGGCCGGGGCGCAATGCAGGGTGTCGCCACGGTGTCGTCTCACTGGGCCAGGCTGCCCCGAGCGACTGCTGAATAAGCATGCTGACGACCTGCAGCGGCCCGCTCGCCCGCAGCTGAAGCGCGCCCCGAGCAACGATCAGCACCCCCGTCGGCGATCGGCAGGAAGACCGATGGCGTACCATCACCAAACCAGGCAGCGGTTGCCACGGGCGGGAAGGGGGGAAGTGGAATGGCGCCCTCGTGTGACTAGAGGTCCTCCATGCCACATGAGGCATACACTGACGGCCGCTTTAGCTGATCCGCAAGCGCCGTCGGTCAGACGAATCAACTGTCCTTCTTGGCCTGGAGCTGAAGTAGAGCCGTCGGTACTCTGCCTGGGGTGCACGTCCTGTCTTTGACCGACAGCGTCAAAAGCAGGCAGGAACCGTTGACCCGCTTGGGCTAGCACAAGATCAATTACAGCATCCCTTCTCGCGATCGAAGCATGGAGCGGTGCTGGTCTCTATGGTGATATGAAAGGATGAAGAGCATGCAAATTACCAACGGCTATGGCTGGCAGGTCGGGTCGACAACCATGCTCTGTTCCTGTCGCTTGCTGTCGTGCGTCTTCCTCCAGTCCTCGTGCCACTGTTGAAGAACAGAGAACGGCGGAACGATGCGGATTTCTTGGGTCGGCGCGGCGCCCCCAGAGCGCGCTGGGCGCGGCGCCGGAGGAGCCGCCAGGGGTGTGGGGGGGAGAGGGGGTGCCCTTCGCCAGCCCAAGACATCCGAGCGGACCTCTGACAGCTTACGCGAGTGATGTCTCTCCCTGAGATCCAAGCGTCGCATTTTTTTTCACATCGGGCGTTGGCCCGCATTAGGGCAACAGGGCCCTCCCAGATCGACCCTGCTCGAAAACTTGTACTGAGAGATCTGATCTGGTTCTCCAGTCGTGCTCTTCCACGATCTCATATTTTTGCTCGCAGCGTCGGCTCTCAGGGTGAGTCCCTCGAATTGGCTCGCTGTCGCCACGTGGCAAGACAACTTACGCCGCCAGGGCCTGCCTTCCAGGGAGTGCTGGTCGAACATGCCCGCGACTAAGGAGGCCTCCTCCAGGCTGGAGAACTCCACCAGGGCGGCGCGTCCCCTGCACTCGTCCCGCGCCTGGGGGGGGGGGGGGGGGGAAAGAGCCAGGCTCCCTCCTAGGGGGGTGGGAGGGGGGCCAAGGGCGAGGGGCGCCGAAGGTGTCGGCGGGCTCGTGTCGACGCTGCTCCTCATAGCGCTCTGGAAGGCCTCATGATGCCCTCGGGAGGACCCCTCGATCCAGTGTTACCAACGCTATGTGGCCAATCTGGGGGAATTCGGACTGCAGTTCGTGACCCTCGGGAAACACTCCTAATCGGCAACTGGTGGCACTTAGCGGCGTGTAGCGGCCACGGGTTGCAGGTTTGTGCTGCGCTTCCCTGGGTGGGGGTGGTACGACTTGGCCCCGCTACCTTCTGCCCCTATGCGCCATCTGCTGCCCCGTGCTCATACGGTGCAGGCGTTGGTGACGGAATGTGCCCAGGAGGCTTCAGACCCTGGAGGATTCCTTCTCTGATGAGGGCGGCGGTAAGTTTCATGGCCAATCCACGATTAAGTCCCACCCGCTTCCACACCAAGGATTCCTTCTCCAGTGGTTCCTTCTCCAATGCCATTACCGTAATAGTAATTCCAATGATGGGGCCCATGCCCCAAGTTTCGCTATTCGGGCCAGCAACACCGTTGGCAAAGGTATCCCTGGCCCGAGGTGTCTTCAGAACTTCTGGGGAGGCCGAGCTCTGAGATGGCGCGACAAGCTGGGGACACCTGAAAGGTCAGGGCCACTTCTACCAACACCCGCAGGAGGACCTCCAGGGAGGGTGCGACAAGCTGGGGACACCTGAAAGGTCAGGGCCACTTCTACCAACACCCGCAGGAGAACCTCCAGGGAGGGTATCCAGGAGCCCTTTTCCATGTGCAGGTATTTTTTGGTTTGCGTGATCTCCAGATTCCCCCCTGGGGCTCGCTGCGTGGCTACCCAAACCCCCGATAGGAATCCAAACCCGGACAACATCTTCTGGAGAACCCCCGGAGGACTCGAGGGGCTCCAGAGTCTGGAGACCCTCCCAGATGAGAGCCGAACGGGGACAGTACGGATCAACCCTCCTCCTCAGCATTATTCATTTTCTTCTATGTCTCTTCCTTCGACCTCCTCCCTACTACTCCTCACTCGCCTTCCTCCTCCTCCTCCTCCTCCTCCTCCTCCTCATTCGCATTCCTCCTCCGCCCCCTCCTCTTCCGCCCTCCTCCTCAGCCCTCCTCCTCCTCCTCCTCCTCCTCCTCCTCCTGCTCCTCCCTTGAGGGGGTGTCAGGCCTTCCGTTTCCAGAAAAATTACACGCCCCCTGGTAAATCATGACTCCAAGCCCTGCTGTGCCAACGTGCGGACGGTTTCGTGTCGTAGGTTTGGACCTACACGCAGATTGCAGCAGCTGCAGCAACTCCGCCCTCATCCGTCCTCCTCCCCTTTCCTCCGCCCTCCGCCCCCCTCCGCCCTGGCGGTCATCCCGCTCTCCCGTCCCGTCCCGGCGTCCCCTGAGCCCCCGAAGTCACGGCCAAGGGCACCCCGATCAAAGGCACCCGCCCAGAACTCCCCAGACGGACCCCTCTCGAGCACGAAGCGCGCGTGCGCCAGCTACACTCACAGGTCTCCGACGATTTGCTTGTTTCAACCCCGTATTTTTTCCCAGAATTCGCCCTCTGGGGCTCGTTTCTGGACCCCGGGACTATTAAAAACCGCAGAAAGGGTCCGGACCTCTGGGGCCGCGGACTTGGAAAAACACTTTGGTTGAGCCTCGGCGGCCCAACGTGCCATGCCTTCTTCTGCTGACAGGCTGCTGACCAAAGCCGCGTCGTTGCAGGAAGGGCGGCGCCCCTGACCTCGAACACCGGGACCTCGAACCTCGACCCCTCCATCCTCGATCTCTCTCGATCTGCGATCCTCGATCACTCGATCCTCTCGATCCTCGATCTCTCGATCTCTCGGTCCTCGATCCATCGATGTTCTCGATCCTGGCGATTCTCTCGATATCTCTCCCACTCTCTCTTTCTCTCATCCTCTCCATCCTCTCGATCCGCTCGATCTCTAAATCCTCGATCCCATCGATCCTCTCGATCTCTCGATCCTCCCGATCTCTCGATCCCCCCCACGCCAGGCGAACGCGTGGGCCTCCAGAAGCCGCATCTCGGTGATGCGGCCGTGCGCCGAGAAGAGCTCCCGAACCTCCCCGCCCAAGGGCATTTCTCCCCCCCCGCCCTGGCGCTCGGCCCCTCCCCCCCGCTCAACCTGACACCCTCGTCTCGCGTTGGGGAAAAAACGGCATCCCACGCATGGGACAGATCAGCACGGAGGTCTGTGTCGGTTTTCGACCCCTGGGGGCCCTCGCCGGGCCCCAGGACTGCACAGTAATGCCCCGCCCCAGGGCAAGGGTCGGGACTTCCAAGGGCCACGCATTGAAACTATCAAGACATCGGGTCTCTGGGACCTCGACAGGATATGTTTGTTCACTTTCGGCCTACCAGGGACCTCAACAACCCAGGGGACCATCCAAAAACGCCCGCGGATGAAAAGCCAATCCCTGGGAAGGGGTCCGGACCTCTGGGGAAAGAAAATAGCAGAGGGAGGGAGAAACCGGGATGGTCTCGGAGTGGCTCCTCCTCGGCGCCTCGATGCTGGGGGCACGGGTGCCAGGTTCAACGTTCCATGGCCCATCTTCCCTCCTCGGTCCACCTCCTCCTCCTAATCGGTCTATCTTCCTGGGAGGCCTCGGGGCCGCCTTCTCCTCGACCTCCCTGTCAGCAGGAGGTTTCGCATTGCTTCCTCCTCCTCCTCCTCCTCCGCCTCCTCCTTTTCCTAGGAGGGCGGCACGGGGGAAAAGTTTCCTCCTCCGACTCCTCCTCGGGAGGCTTCGGGCGGCGCCCGCGTACGTTTCCTCCTCCCCCCTCCTCATCCTTTTCCTCCTCGTCCTTCTCCTCCCGCTATTTTCCCGCTATTTCAGGCGCCATAAAGGGGAGCACTGCGCGGCCGCCGTCGGCGGCCGACGGCCAACGGCCGCAGCTCTTTCCAACTGCTGGCGGCTGGGCGCCTCATCTTTCCCAACAGCTGGCCGCTGGGCGCCTTGGCTTTCCAGCTGCTGGCCGCTGGGCACCCCTCTGCCCTTTGCATAAGGCGCCGTCTTCTTGATGGGCCACTGCCTCCGACTGGAGGCAACGCTGTCCTGCTTGTCACGCAGGCGGCTGGCAGCAACCCTTCGGCGCATCGCGTTGCTGCTGCCAGTGAGGAGCTAGGCCGCTCCGTGAGGCCCGCAGTGGCTCGTGCGGATGTGGCGTCTGTCCGCTTTTCTCGCACGCCTGGAGGCCTCGCGCGCGCTGGCCTGGGCCTCCTTTCGTCCTTCGGATCACCTGCGTGATCTCCTGCGTGCTGTCCTTGGACAGGCCAGATGGTTGTGTAATCCACCTTTCCGTCTGGTCCTCTTCGTTGCGAGGGTGCTGGTGCGGATGTGGTGTCTCGCCACCTTTCTCGCACTCGGTCTTTCAGGTTCTTCACTGCTGTCGTTGCCTGTCTGGTTGGTTGGTTGCTTGGTTGGGGATGGGTCGTCAGTTCTTCCAGCGTCCTGCCTCTTGTCTGGCGGCAGCGCTGTCCTGCTGGTCGCGCAGGAGGCTGGCAGCAACCCTTCGGCGCCTGGGCGCTGTTGCTGCCAGCCTGGGAGCTTGGCCGCTCCTGGAGGCCTGGCTGTTGGCTCGTGCGGGCGTAGCGTCTCGCCACCTTTGTCGCGCGCCTTGTCAGGCCTCACGTCCTTTGGCCTGGGCCTTGTTTTATTCCGCATGTTCCTCTGTATGGTCTCCTGCATAAGCTCATTGGGAAGGCCAGACTTTCTTGGCCTCCCGCGTCTTGGCACGCGTGGTCTCCCACCTTTCGCGTCTGGCCTTCTTGCCGCCTGCAGGCTGCTCGCGCGGATGTGGCGCCTCGCCACCTCTCTCACACGGAGCCTTCCAGAGGACTTCGCTGCTGTCACGCTCGGGGAGAATGGGCAATCGGCGGGGCGTGGGTCGCGGTCGTTTCTTTTGCTTGGTTGGGCGTGGGGTCGTAGGTCGCACATCGTGGCCTCCATGCACCGACTTCAAGTGGCATTCGCCGCGGTCCCACCTCGGCCCGCTTTGGCTAGGGGCCACAGTGCCCTCGGTGGGGGCGGACCCCAGGTCCTGTGCTTGGTGTTGCTCGTGCTGGGCTGAGTCGCAGCTGCCATGTGCTCCGCCTTGCCGGCGTTCGGGCGAGCTCCTCCTCCGAAGTGGGAATGGTGGGGGGGGCGAGCCAGGGCGGGCCGCCGAGGCGCGGGCGGTGGCCGCAGCCCCCCCCGCCCCCCCTGCCCCTCGCCATCCCCCCTGGCGGGCGCGGGCAATACTCATCCTGCCCCCCCGCCCTTCGAGCCCGTCTCGAAGTTTGTTCCTTGCCTCGCCAGGGCATCCGCGGCGAGGTCTGATGGCTTGTACTGTGGTTGGGTGGTGGGCTTTGGTGGAGGTCGCACTTGCGTGAGGGACGCGCGCGCGCGTGGCGAATTGTGCCGGAGGTGTTCACGCGCATTCGGGGCTTCCTCAGGACTTTGCGACCTAACGCCTGCAACTCAACGCGGCGACGTTGCCCGGGGTGTTCCCACGCATTCGGGGCTTCCCCTGGACTTTGCGTCCTAACGCCACGGTGTGTACGGGCCGCGTCCTGGTGGTGTAGGGCCGCGGCGGCCGCGCGTCTTGGCCGGTGTGGGCGTGGGATGGTGGTGGGGGGCATGGATGGGTGAGTGGGTATCGTGCTGGCATGCTGTGTGTCAGTCTGCTGCGTCGTGGTAGGTACGCAGGTCTCCAAGGATGTATGCTGGAAGGTCTGATGTACCTTGGCTGCCAGATGCCATTCTGTTGCGTTGGTCGAGTGCTCATTCGTGGAAAGGTAGTGTTGGTGCTGTTGTGAGGTTTGGTCGAGTTACGTAGTGCGTGTTGGTCGGTGGCTTGAATGTGCTGGTAGGTCGTTTGGCTGGTTGTTGCGTTGGTGGATGGCCGGGTGAAGGGTGCTGGTGCGTGGTGCGGGGCGTCGAGAGAGAGGACGCGCTGCGAGTTCAGGTTTTCCGCTCCAGCCCTCACGGCCTGACTTAACAGGGGCTCGCGTGTATAGGTGCCAGGAGCAAGCCGTCGATATCGCAGCAAGGCGGCCAGAGATGGCGGCTGTGGTGGCGGCGGCGGGTGCCAGGCGTCAGCCGTGGCCCAGTCTCGAGCCTCGTGCAGGTCGAGGGTCTTGATGGTTCGTCTAAGGTGGTTGCTGTGATGGTCGCTGCACATCTTGCGTGTCAGATATGGGTCGAGAGGCTGGTAGAAGTGGAGGCACTCGGGCTCGATGTGCCAGTGTCGGTCGCATGAATTTGCGGCGAGACTCTGCGCCACTTGGGTGGCTAAGGCTTCCGCTATCGCTTGGCACATCATGGTAGGGTGTTCCTTGGCGGCACTTGTGGCCCAGCTTCCCTGCTCGTCCAAGCCTGCGAGCACCTGGTGGTGGCGCGTATTGCGAAAGCATCTCCCAGCACCTGGGAGGCTTCGGAAGCGCTCGCGCAGCGCAGGGAACGCCACCGCTAGGAAAGTGGTACTCTTATCAGAGGGTGCTCCGCAGGTGCACTGGTCAAACGTGATGGTGTCGACATTGGGTTGAGCTGCTAGGTGGGCGGCCTCTGGCAACCGCCAACTGCTGGGCATGCGCTGCGCTCGCGGTTCGGCAGGATGCTCTAGAAGCCCACGTATGTCGTACACTGCGCAGGGGTAGAAGAACTCGAGCTGTGTGCGATATAATCGGCTGCCCAGTCTAACTCGCCCTGCTTCTGCCCTTCGAAGATGTCGAAGGCCCCAGAGCTGAGTTCCCGAACGGAGCGGCCGCGGCGGCCTGCCTCTGCACTGGCTGGGTGGTAGGTGGCGTGCACGCGACCACGTTCCGCACGGCGGCCCTCCCAACACTGCCGCGAACCGTCCTTCTTTGAGCATTTGGCTCCACTTAGCCACTGAGGCCTCGTTGGCTAAGTCGCCGGAGGTCGCGCCGTTGGCGACGCCCAGCAACAATGCGCATGCCGAGCGGCTGCTAGCGACCGGTAGTTGTTCGCACCAATGTTGTATGTCCGATAGCCGCCGCCGCCCACTGAACAGGCGTAGAGTATAATTGTACATGGTGGATGCCTACCGTGGGCGTGGGACCTGAACGACAGGTGGTGGTGGGTCGCTGTAGCGCGGGATGTCCACGCAGGCGTTGTCGTCCGACGGGTTGCTGTCGTCGTCAAGCTCTGGTGGTTGAACTTGTTGCAATGATCGCTCGGCCCAGTCGCTGGGCCGTCCTGCTTGTCGGTCTGCTGTTGCTGCTGTCTGATCGTCCGCTGGTTGATATCGTGCTGGTCTGGCAATGGCATAGGCAACCGTCCCCGCATGTGCGCGGCGCAGCGCTTGACCTTCAGGCGGTGTGGAAGTCGCGTCCGCAGCCCAGGCATAGTGCCTTGCGCCCATGTAACTGGATGGTTGGCGTTGGCGTGGTACCGAGTGATGTGGGCTCGAAGCCGCTGCTGGGTAGGTTCGGTGTGCCCGCGCTCGTAGCATACGTAGGTCGTGGTGTGCTTTGGCTCTTGCCAGTTGAATGCTGGGATAGCGTGGGTGTTGGTCCAGGCGGCAAACCGCTTCCGCCATTCCTGTAGGTGGTCGTCGCCATGTGCTGCAAGTCGTGCTCTAGGTAGCATCTTCTTGACGTGGTTGACAAACTTCGCTCGGTCAGTGCGGGCCCAGTCCTTCCAGTCGTCAGTGGAGTGCTGGCGAGCTGGCTCGTCAGGGTCAGTGTGTACACGGAGCCATGAGATGTCGTGTCGTATTGCCTCTGCCCAGCCGCACAGGGCATCCCACGCCTCTGCTGGCAACCTCAGAAGATACATGGGCCCGTGGTTGACTACTCTCGAAAAGAGGCGGAGCCGCTCCAGGGTCAGGTAGGCCTCGCTGGTGGGCCGCTCGACTCCCTCTAAGATCTGACAGTTGCTCACCAGCTTGTCGGAGTCCGCAAGGGCAGCCTTGTCGTGGGCCGTGAGTTGATTTCGCTTTGCACCGCACGGCGTAGTGGGATGGTCGTTGCTGCTGCCTCGGTGACCTTGCGGGCGACGTCGGCTCCTGGTGAGCCGTCGTCGGTGACCATCGTGCCGAGGAGGCGGCGGTGCCTAACGA